GACATTAAAGAAAAGTAGTGAAACCTCAGAGATATATAAAAGAAATAAGCTCATAACTTCCAAAGGGTTAACACCAGTGTCTCATAAATATATTTTAAGATTTCTTTCTTACCATTCAGAAGTGCAAAAGAAACCATTCAGTATCACTGATGAACTGGAAGATAGTGAAAATGGGGGAAAAGAGGATGCTTTGTTAAGTTCGTGTACTGTGCTGTTAATGGAGATTGCTGGAATCCTTTTCAAAATTAAGTGGCAAGATGAATTAAGAAACCTAAACATTCCTTAAAAATATTAATCTTCAACTGGGCATGGCAGTGCACACCTTTAGTTTCAGCACTCAGGAAGCAGGGGCAGGCGATCTCTGTGAGACTGAGGCCAGCCTGATAGCGAGTTCCAGGCCAGCTGTGGCTACAGGGAGACCCTGTCTCAAAAAACAAAAAACACACTAAAAGAAATTTATCCTCTTTGACCTTACTAGTCCTTTTCATAGTATTAGCCTTGCGCTCCTGAAGACTTGGATGTGGAGCCTTGTTCACTGTTTCTCTTCTCACTATTGGCCTCAGGCCTGGCTCTCAACAAGTACTATCCCTTTGTCTCTTCCCTTGATAGGAATCTTGACCAGTTTTAAACTAAACATACCAGAAACAATGCTAAGATAGCATTAGTTCTGCCTCTGCCTTCTTCCTCTCTTTTCATTAGGCTGTAAGGTATACAAGGGACGATTACACTTTTTTCTGGGTTTAGATTTAGTTGGACTATAGAGATTTTTGTTGTGTGTTACTACTCAGTTAAAAAATATATGACTTTACATTTGTTTCAGTCTTATAGTTCTTATCTATTTTAGCACTTTTAACAAAAACCAATCAGTTGTGTAGCAGATTTTAAAAGAAAGTCATTGATACATTGTTTTTAAAATTTAAAGAAAGGGGCTGGAGACATGGCTCAGCAGTAAAGAGCACTGGCTGTTCCAGAGGGGTCTGGGTTCAGTTCCCAGCATCCACATGACTAATAACTCCCTGTAACTCCAGTTCCAGGAGATCCGACACCCTCGTCTGACCTTCCCAGGCATTGTGTAATATGAATGCACTTACATACATACAGCAATATACTCATACACATAAAATAAGAATAATAAATAAAATATTTAAAAATTTAGAGAAAATGCATCTTAAATAGAGTTAAATAAAGGAGTCCTTGTCTAAGATCTTGAATGACAGAAATTTTGTCTGTAGATATAAGAACAATCCAGCACTAGATATATTAAAATTTTCTTACAGTCTCTCAGTCTTCAAACTACAAAACCAATATCCTGGAATGATCTAAGTCTTGTAGCTTTCTTCTAATATCATCTTATCTGTCTGTCATCCTCAGATAAATGAAAGGATAGGAGAGCAAAATAAAGTCAATATAAAGGAAAAATCACAGCAGAAAGTATCTTTTTAAAAAATCCAAGACAAAAGAGAAATAAATTGGTCACTTATAAAAAAAAAACATTTCTCCTGAATTTTTCAACTTTTAACACTTCTTTCCTTTTTAGAAAGTACGTTTGCTTCAAGTTGAGGTAGAAGCTGTCCTGGAAATGGATCTTTGTTTACTTGCTGTGGTTTAAAAACAACAAGAACCAAAAATTATTTTTCCTGTATAGAGAGAATTCACTAAACTTTGTTCAGAAGTTTTCTACAATTTGTTTTCTTTCAGTCTGTATGTGCAGTAGCATGTGTAGGAACAAAACAAAATGTTCTTCACCTCATGGCAGCCTCGCTCTTTTCCTGTTCTGCAAGCTTTCAGGTTGGAGGGTGTCCTGTCAGTTTGCACAGTACCTTTTCTTTTGTTTATTTCTTTTAATTATATTTCAGTAGATTCCAAATCCTTTTGGGGGGATAAGTTGTTCTTTAACTTATAGAAGACTCATCACTTGAGATAGCTATTTGTTACTAAAATAGGCATGTTTTCTAATATAACCCAGGTTTAGGATGATTTATATATATTTAAATTGCACAATAAGTTTGGCTCAGCAGGTATTTCATAGGCATTTACTCAATAGTAAAGAACATTAAAAAGTCAGCAATAATCTATTGACAATATTATCATTTAGCATAAAATAAATTATTTATTTTATACTTAACAGACTTGACTACTGCTCTCCAAATAATGTCTGAAAGACAAACAACAGCCAGGTGAGACCTTTCAGGAAACGCAGCTCATTCTGAAACTACAGCTCCAGCAGTTGGCTCTTATGAGTACACTCACAGTTGCTTAGAATCTGGGCTGTTAGAGTAGCCCGTCCTACAGAGTTGATTTCCCTGAAGCTATGAAAAAAACAGCTAATAATGATAGGTAGAACTCTGCACCTCCTGGGCTACCCAAGACCACCTCAGTTCACACATTAGCCTGAGCACAGGTTAGGAGTCACAGAGGTGCTTGCTAAATAGAACTGTAGAGGTAAAAATGGCTTCTGCCAATTTTTAGAAAAGTTAATTTTTTTCTGTCCCTTAGGAGATTCACTGTATAGTGATTAAGGATAACTAGTATGTTTCATTATTAATAGTTCTTATAATACATTTTTGGTATGGTTCTAAGTGCTTTGCATGCAGTGTTATATGTAATTCTCAAATGATGCTGTAGGATAATGGAGGGTGATAGTGCTGTTCCCACTTTCCAGGAGAGGAGTGTAAACCTATAGAGGAGAGCAAGGTCATACATACTGAGCTGAGATGCAGTCATGTGGTTGGGTTCTCAGGTTTCCCCTTAGTAACAGAATTATCAGTATCTTCTAAGCATAGTATCTGCACCTTAGAAATTTTTTGATCTTCTTTTCTTTTTTCTTTCCCTAGACAGTGTTGATTGTTGCCATTTTTTCTAGCTATATACTAGGCTGATAATAGGTTCTGGGTAAGATTGGACTTGAATTTTTTTGGTGTCTCTGAATTAACAAATTTCCATTTGTCCATTATTCTTTGATTTCTGCTATTTTTTTTTATTTTCAAAAATGGTATTTGGGGAACTTGTCCATGAATTGTAGGTAGTTCCTTTTCTAGTTTTTTTTTTTTAAATACACGCCATAATCTACCATCTGTAGTGTTTGTAATATTGTATCTGATGGAAATTGCTAGTATGGAAATTCTAAGCAGTATTGCCATTCACAGTAATACTGCATACCTTCTAATTTATCTTATAGGAGTTTTTCTGCTGTAGTCAAAATTTTGATATTTATGCTAGGGTTATTAGGAGATAAATCTTCCTGAGATAAACAAAACTGGGCCCTTGGAAGTCTTGGTCAGTGCCTTTGGTGTTGTCATGGGAGACTTACCATGAATGTCATTAAGTCTCTTAATTTTATACTCTTTGCAGCTCATTGGAAACAATACAGAGTGACAATACAGGGTGATAAAGAAATTCTTAAATGCTAGTTTTGGTTATTAGAAGATTGACATCTGAATGTGTTGAAAAGAGTCAATACTTTATTTAAATAAAATTATGAATACTTCTTTATTGTACTGTATTTCTTTTAGGAGGTGATACGATCCTGTGCTGCAAAAGTAAGTAGTTTTTATTACCAGGAAGATAACTTTAAAACTATAGTTTCTATTGTGATACACCAAAGAATTGGAATGCACCATTATAGAGTTGACAACTTCTACACAAGTTAAACTGATAAATACTTTTCCTTATTGGAGCTCATATTTATTAAGGAATTATTATAGTGGAAGCTGAGAATTCAGTAAGGTGACTATTTAGCAGTAAGGTGACCAAGTAGCTTCAAAGATTTGAAGATTTGAAAAGTAATAGAGATATACTTTCAGTACAGATCCGACTGAGCAGCTGTCCTCCTTTTACAGACAGCCTCTTGTTACATGCCTCTTGTTACATACAATCTTTAAGGAGTTGGAATGTTACTTGTTTACATCCTTCCTCATCTTCTGGCCACTTTGAGAATTCAGCTGAATAGACATTCATTCATTTACCAAATAGAATTACATGTCTCAAAGTAAAAGATGAGGCATCCAAAAGGGAAAGAATTAGAATAGTGTTAGTGTGTTCAAAGAGATCTTCAGTATAGAGGAAGGAAATACTTTGTTCAGTAGGCATCTGTGACCATGTAGCAGAAACATGGACAACAGTAGACTAGTATCTTTTTCTCCATAGGGCATCTTATAGAGGAAATGTCAAAAAATACTAGGCTTACCCATCGCTGAGCTGCTCAGTATCAGTCAGGACCCATCACATTTTTACCTAATTATCACAAGTCAACAGGGTATCGAATATAGACAAGGGGAAGGAAGATGGGGAAAAAAGAGAACAAGCTATATTCTGACTTGCCCTGCAGATGTTCAGGAAACTTGTTCCTGATAGCAATGATTGGTATAATGATTGTAGCTCCAAGATTACTAAATCTTCTTGTGTGTGTGGAAAAATATATATATATATAATATACACTTTATTTCCTATCTAGCAATTACAGCACTCTCATTCGCTTTTCCTCTTCCCCCCTTCTTCTTCTCTCTCCTCTCTCTCTCCCTCCCTCCCTCTCTCTTCTGCTGATGTACCACATATTCATCCATCTTTTCTAATGCTGTCTGAATGTTCAAAGACTCAAAATATTCTGTATTCATTTAGCCATCTCTGTAGAGACTGTTGTCTGATAATCTGAAAGCCCAGAGGGTGATAGTCTTGTTCATCTTTGTTTTAGTAGTATTTAACAAAAGAACAACTACTCATTGAAAATGTAATTACATATTTAGAAGTTAAAATCTGAAAAAATTAACCTTACTAATGCCTTTAATGTTCTATTTTAAATAACTTTTTATTGCAATATAATTCATATAACATGATGTCCTTTTAAAGTGTACAGTTCTGAGGCTGGTGAGATGGTCAACAGATAAAAGTTTTCCGTGAAAGCCTGATGACCTGAGTTCAATCTCCAGAGCCCGTGTAAAGGTGAAAGGAGAGAACCAACTCCACAAAGATGTCCTCTGGCCTCCATATGCCCTCTGTGGAGTGCTTTCCTACATACGTCTTACACATATAACAATAAATGAAAAATAAAGTGTACAGCTCACTGGTTTTGATGATATTCAACATTGTGCAACCTTTGCTTCTGAGTTTAGAACTTTTTTATAACCCCCCCCAAAAAAAAATTCAATGTCTGTTAGCATCCCTTTCCAATACACGTAACATGTAGACATCCATCACAGACTCATGGGAACCATTAGTGTGCTTTCTGTAGACTCTTCCCTGTTGGACATTTCATATAAGTGGAATTTTATTATATGTTGTCTTTTGGCTTGGGAAATTTGTTTTCATTTTCTTTTGTTTTTGTTTTTTATGCAGGTTCCCTTTTTGTAGCTTAGTGGCCTCAAACTCATGATGATTCTCCTATCCCAGCCTCCCAAATGCTGGAATTATAGCCACGTGCCACCACACCTTTTTAATGTGGCCTTTTTGACTCGCTTCATTCACTTAATGGTTTCAAGATTTCTCCTCTCATAATATGCATCAGTACTACTTTTTGCCAAATAAGATTCCATCATATGCATATATTACATTTCACCCATCTGTTCATCAGTTTATGAACATTTGGGTTCATTCAACTTCTTAACTATTAAGACTAATGCTGTTATGAACATGTATTGTATTGAACAAGTTTTGGTGTAGACCTTTGTTTATTTCTCTGGGATTTGCATGGGAGAGTGGAATTGTTGGATCATTTGACAACTGTGGTTAACATTTTGAGGAACTGCCAGACTCTTCCAAAATGGGTATATCATTTTAGAACCTCACCACCAAGGTATAAGAGTTCCAGTTTCTCCTCATCCTTACACCACTTAAATTCTCTGTGCTCCTGTCTATTTCTGTCATCCTAGAGGATGAAATTGTTCTGTTACTATGATTTTGATTTGCATTTCCCTGATGACTGACGATGTTGAACATTTTTGATATGCCATTTGTGTAAAATGTTTGTTGACTCCTTTGCCCATTTAAACTCTTTTTCTTCTTTTGCTGGTTCCCTTTGAATAATTCTTTATACACATACATATACTGATACAGCTATCTTATCAGCTGTATTCTCTACAAATGTTTTATGATGCTTTTAGACTCAATTTTTTTGATGGTGTGCTTTAAAAGAAAAAAAGGTTTTAATTTTTGTGAAGGAATTGGCATTAAAAGAAGGAATTTTTACAGGCAGGTGAACTGGGTAAATGCACAGATACAGATTGGATGGTGCAAAGATGAGAGTTGTCCTGTTGCTTTCCACATGTTAGTTTGTGTTGGAATCTCTTGAATTAAAATAGCCCAAAGATTTCTTCATATGAATTTATAATTTATAAGTTTTCCTTTTTCTTCCTTTTGTTTAGAGTTGGATTGAAGTTATCAGAAGTGGTATTGCCTGGGATCTGTTTCCATTAAGTTTTTGGTCATTCCTCATAAAAGAAAATAATTTGTTTTCTCACATTCCCAAACATAATCATTCCACCTGGCATATTTTATAAATGGGCTTATTCTACCTTTATGTGAGTATAATTAATTATGCCTGTCTTTTTCCAACATTAGGTTGTTGGTTATTGATTGCTTCAAAAGAATCTTTTTCCCCTCTTCTTTCTGACTAACCTACAAGTCATAGCAGCATAAAATACTCAGTTTCCTATCATACTGTTTCTATTCCTACTTCTTGCATATTTAGCTCTCCTCATCCCTATGCAAGCTTCTTGAAGCAGGGGACTTCATCTTTTTAAAAATAGTATCAGCCAAGTTCAGTTTAATTATTATAGTTAATAAAAGGTGAGATCAGGTACATTCAGGGTAGTATGGCCCTACAGTGTGCCTAGTACAAGAATGTGGAGAAAAAAAAATTAGGGGACTGAGAAGAGGACTCATTTAGTAAAATTCCTGCCACAGAAGTGTGAGGACATGAGTTAAGATCCCCAGGACCCATGTAAAAAAGCTAGACATGGTAGCAGGCACTCATAATCCCAGTACTGGGGAGGCAAGGCAAGCAGAAGAGCTGGAGTTCACTAGACAGCCTGTGAGCTGTCGGTTCAGTAAGGGACACTCATCTCAAATAAGGTTCGTGAGTAGTAGAGGAAGGCGCCTAACTAAACCTTTATCCTCCAGCATGCACTTACACTACACATACACACATACAAAATGCTATAAAATGGTGATTATAGTTAAAACTGTCTTCAAATGTATTATTTACTGAAAGCATTTTTTATTTAAATAATAGAGAATCCAGAGAGTGTAACTTTAAAAATTACACACACACACACACATATATATATGCAGGGCATGATGATGTGCTCAAAATGTAGACATAACAATCAGAAGTTCAAGGTCAGCTTCAGCTACATAGCTAATTGAGGCCTGAACTAGATGAGACCCTGGTTCAAAAAAAAAATTAAAGAATGAAATTTTGTGTGTGTGTGTGTGTGTGTGTGTGTGTGTGTGTTTCATTATAAGGAGGACACATTTGATTTAAGTAGAATAGTCATTTTCAGTTATTTGCGAAGGTTTTAAAAATACTTTTTAAAGCACAATTCCTTACTGACATTCAGAAAGTGGATGTGAGATCAAGTTAAGTTTTATTGTTCTGACACTATGTGGAGAGCTGGCTTGGCTGGAGCACCTGCTACAGTCGTCCCTGTGTGCAGGTGGAGAGTAGTCTGGGATGAGTTGAGTAGTCTGGCCCTAGTAACAAAGTGGAGAGTGGTAGTACTTCCTAAGAAAACAAGACGCAGAGGAAGGTTAGGCTACCTCCATACTGCAGGACCAGGAGACATATTTTAGACTTAAGAAACACAGTATCAGTATTAGAATGCTCATGAAGTGATAAAATAAAATGTTCCTGCCCAGGTTAACTGTGAGGTGAGGTATTATGAGGGAAGAGGGGCTAATACATTAGCAGATGACACTGAAGAGTGGCTGGACATGAGGAATGGAAGGAAATGAGAGAGTAGAGCGGTTGACAGTATCAGAGGCCTAAGCAGCCTACGGAATTCAGTCATTCATGTTAGTGTTATTGTGGAGACAAACTTGATTACCTGGTTGAAAAGAGCTGAGTATAGTGGCATGTGTTATTTTTCAAATAATTTATCTTTTAATGAGACTTAAGGGAGTTCCTGAATTAGAGTGAGAATTTTTGTTGGTTTGCTGGGGTTTTGGTTTGGTTTGGGGTTTTTTTGTTGTTTGTACTAAAGTAGAAGGGTCTGTGAAAAGAATTTCAGGGTAGAATTTGGAAGAGCTTTGAGCACATCCCCATGGGAACTTAAGGAGGTACTAATCTTGAGTCTCTTCCTCTGACACTAAAATAAAAGAATGAAGAGTAGGTGAAATCCACGTTTTCACAGGCTCAGAAGTAAGGAATTCAGGGCAGTCAAGATAAAAACTCCCTATGAAATAAGGCAGTATTCTAAGAGAGAAAGGAGTTGAAGGCTTCGAGGAAACCAGGAAGCCTTGATGCAAATTGCCTTACCTGGTGGCGTATTGACCAGAATAGATCTTAATTTTGAACTTCGCATGGAAGAATCATATCAGCAATCTTTGATTACTTGATATCTATTAAAGGCTAAAGAAAATCTTGATTAAATATTACAAAATAAAGCTTCGTTATGACTGCTTCATATCTAATTTCTGGTTTTAATAATATAATGAATTGGTTTGAGGGTAAGGTTTTTTTTGGTACTTGACTATTGTAAAAATTATCTTTAGAAGTTAGGTTCCTCACTAGGATCTCTCACTTCTCTGTCCTGGCTTATAAAGAAAAAATCTGAGACCTGAAGATTAACGCTTTGTTTTTTCCTTAAGATACTATAGCCTACTTATTTATTAGATTTTGCTAACCTACAAATCTTAACACAACCATTCATAGAATTCAGGTACTGAGCTATGAAGAGTACTTCATATTCTTTGAATTTCAGAGTAACAAAGCTTTTGCTTTTGTTTTAGCTTTCTCTTTAACTTGCTCTTTAACACTGGGACTAGACTTTTTTTTATAACAAATCCATAATTAGTAACAAAACATTTCTGGTTATTGCTGGGTTACTTTTATGTCCATAATGGTCTTCAAATTAAGATAGCTGCATTATTGTTTAGATTTATGGAAAAAATTGACAACTGTCATGAGAAAGATATGAATTTGAGAACTTTTAATGAGACCACATCAATGTCTTTCCTGTTATACTTTAGAATCAGTTTTTGAAGAATCTTCAAAGCTTGAAAATTCATAAATTTCTGGTTCTGGTAAAAAGTAACATATAGGCTAAAATCAGCTTAAATTATTAAATTTGTAAGTATGCATGGAAATGAATGTTGTATCTCTCAGAGGCTTTAAATTTTTTAATTACTGGAGCTGGAGAGATGGCTCACCAGTAAAGAGCAGTTGCTCTTGTTGGAGACCTGGATTCGATTCCCAGCACCCAGATGGCCACTAATAACTATCCATAACACCAGTTCCAGGGGATCCGACGCCCTCCTCTGTCGTCTGTGGGTATTGCATGACGCAGGTGCACTTACATACATACATTCAGGCAATACACTCATACACATGAAATAAAAATAATAAATTTTTTTAGCATATTTAGTTTTTCACATTCAATTTTATATTGGGGGCAGTTTTTAAATATGAAAATTAACACACTCCTGGAAATTATTTTTTGCATATTTTGCATAAAACTGCTTATAACCTAAAAGAATAAGAAAAACAGTTTCAACTAATTTGGCCAAAGTTCTAGGTAATTTTTTTTCTTTTGCCTATTACGTGTTTCATCCACGTTTTGTGCTTTCAGTGTCTCCAGATGGAGATATTAAACTGACTTTGGCTGACTGTGGTTTTTGCATGAAGCAAGCAGAAAAGAGTTGTGAAAAGAGTGTAGATTGGTATAGGGTAGACTATCTTAGCCAACCCTTCTGTTGTTGTAAAGTTATTAAGCAATTCTTTTCCACAGCATATATTTCAAAAATAGATGTTGCTTCACTCTATTTAATGGTTATTATTATTTTTCTTCCTCTAAATGAAATTCTTAATGTGTCAGCTCACTTTGAAAATTTTTTGACTTCTAATTTCAAATCACCATTAATAATAATTGACAATTATCTCAAACCTTGATAATTGAGTTACCTGCTCTATAATGTTGCTACTCGTCACTTTAAGACTCTTTGAATGGTATCCAAAAAAAGATGGCAAGAAAGGTCCAAATTATTAAAAATGCTTAGGAAAACATGTAATTATAGTGCTTTTTTTCTGAATAGCAGTGCATTTTAAGAGAGGCAAGTCTTTATGCTTGAGCAGATACATTTAAGTATCCTAGTCTAGCTTTGCTGGCATTCTTTTTTTGTTTTAGCCCAGAGAAAGCCCTAAAGAGGAAGTCATATGTGTATAGCCACAACCATGGTGTAGCTATAGACAAAGAACCATATAATCATATGCCTGGAATACACCTGTTCTTTTGCACCAGACTTTAAAATACATTGTTTGAATATAATTTTCAAGAATACAGAAGTAAACAGAGGCTTTGCTCTAATAAGAAGTGAATTAGTTAAGTGACAAATATGTAGGACTTCCATTTAAAAGCATAGAACTCTGCAAAAATGACTGATCATAATTCTACATTAGGTGTACCTGATGAGCTTAACTCCTAGATGGTTCTCATATCTGATATTTGATGCAGCGCTACATTTGTATCACACTTTATCATTTCTTTGCAAATAAAAGTATTTCATTTTTTTCAGTGTTCGGTATTGAACCCTGGTAGGCAACTGCCCTGCCACTGAACCATACCTAGCCCTGTTTATTAATTATTTACTACATTATCTAGTACTTAATAATTCACATGTAAATAGAATTTTATAATTACACATTATCTAAATTGGCATATTCACATTAAAGCATAGACACCATTTTTATTGAGACCTCTGTTTAAAGATGAACAATGAAGCTCACCAAATTATTTCATTGTTATTTTAGGGACCATGTAGTTACAGTCAGTATTAATTTGGGCCAGAACTTAATGATGGATCCTGAGAATTTTTCAGGCTTGGTTATATGTTAACACTGACGTGGTTTTAATCCCTTCTAACTATTTTGAGTAATATTTTTGGCTGGGAATAGAGTACTTGCCTAGCGTATGTGAAGTCCTGGTTTGATTCCTATAACCGCATACATGAAAAGATTTTTTTTGTTGTTTTATGAGATGACATCATAATAATTTAGGTATGTTAGAACTATATTATTGTACAATCTTAGTTGAGTTTTCTCTAAATCTGCTCAGCTCTTTGCTCCAAGGAAAAAGCTAATCTAAGATACACTGTCATTGTTTGAAAAAAAGAAGCATTTACAAACATGTAGATAATGACAAAGGGCATGTAGCTACAGCCCAGTACTGTCTGTATAGAACACATAATTTTAAAGCATTAATTCAGTAGACATCCTCTATGTGGTTTTCATTATTTAAATCAAAATAAATAAAAAGACATTTTCATGTACTAAGAAATTTATTAATATGAGTTTTTCATTTTAATCACAGATTATATATTTACAGTGAATTTTTAAAATTATGCTGCCTCAGTTTCTTTAAAAATTGATCATATTTTATGATTCTTGAAAAAAGGAGTTAGTGATTTACTCATAATGGATAAGCCTAGGTTTTTCCTGACATTAATTTTAATAAAAAAAAGAATTTACTAATAAACTTTTAGAACTATTTTACTGAACTATTTTTTAAAAAACTGTACTTAGTATACATTTTATTTCTTGAGATCATTATACTCAGTCATGGTAGGTTTTATGTGTTGTAGAATATTGTGTTTACTTACAGGAATTTTGCCTGTTTACTATTTTTTATTATTATTCCAAAGAGAGGCAATTTTTAATACATTTTTCCACAAATCCTAACTTGAAGCAGCTTCTTTTACATATCTATACAATGAACAACATGTGGTCAACCTTGGTGGACTAATGAAGGTTTCCATTAGCTCTGTTTTGTTTTTTGTTTTTTTAGAAAATCCTAACGAATTTATTGGGCTTCCTAACAGAGCAGAGGGTAGGGGGGTTATTTACAGAAGAGTACTGTTTTTAAATAGTATTAAGAAATTTTTTTTTTATACCATGGAAGCTCTCAAATGGCAAGCTAGGTTATAGCATATTATCTTTGTCACCATAATTCTTGGAAACATGAGTTGTACAGGTATTTTCTGTGCAGACTCTAAAAAGAGAGTATCTGATGTTTTTCTAAAATGTGGGTTGGTAACATTTAAGCTCTTTCTTAATGAAAAGCAGTCATGGAGTCACTTTTATGTTTGTCTTTCTTTGCATAACTTAAGACCATTTTATTTTAAATTATGGCACATAATATCAATTTCAGGATAAGTAAATTAGGAAGGTTAGTTTACTTTTATAACCATTGTATTCCTTCCTTAGTAAAAACTCTTCTATCATATAAACTCTAAAAACTAACCATATAAGCCATTACCATTCCCCTTGACCTGCCATGTGTCGTGGTTTGGATAGTGAGCATATTTCTTATCCAGTTTTTGCATCAATAACCCAGGAAATTACGAGGTAGTTTTTTTATTTGCCTTTTCTTTTTCAGGTCAACAAAAATCTGTCAATGACTCCACCACCACCAGCCTCTACACAGCAGCCAAAAGCAAAACAGCCCAGTGTGCTGACCGCTGAGGACATCATACATCAGTTTGGTTTCCCTCAAACAGGTAAGCGCCTTTCTTGCTTTGACCATAGTTTTTTAAAGTGTTCGGTGCCATTTTAATATTAATAAATTAATTTCTCTTCAGAAAAAAAGCAAAACAAAACTCATAGAATTCTAATGGTTGGTTCACATTTGACAATGTCTATTCTAGCATCTCCTGTTCCTTTTTAAAAAATTTTTTTAATTTCTTTTTATTTTATGTGTATGTCTGTTACACCTGCATGTATGTAAGTGCACTCATGTAGGGCAGTGCCTATGGAGGACTGGAGTCCTGGAACTGGAACTGGAACTGGAGCTGGAGTTACAGACCGTTGTTAGCCACAATATGGGTGCTGGGATTCGAACCTAGGTCTTCTGCAAGAACAACCAGTGCGAATCTCTTTTTTCTTAAAATTGCAGAAATTATTTTTAAGTTTAGATTTGAACTACTTTGAACTTGTACTCTATTAAATGATAATTTAAAACTTGAAAAACAGAGTTTTAAACACATATAATATTAAATCTTATTGAATTTTTCAACTGAATAAAGAAACCTTTATTTCTAAATAAAGCTTATAGAAATTTTTATTTTTCATTTTAATAAAAGCCTAAGCAACATGCATTTAGGGAACTGGAGAGATGACTCAGCCACTGGTTTAAGAACATGTACTGCTCTTGCAGAGGACAAGTTCCATTCCCAGCACCCATGTCAGACAACTTACAACTAACTGTAACTTCAGCTCCAGGGTATCCGGTGCCGCCTTCTGGATTGCATGAGCATCTGTACTCACATGTACACATACCCATACATAGACATACACATATACACACAATTAAAAATAAAATAAACCTTAACTGTATATAATAAAAGTAGAAATCTTAACTGAACACCTAACTTAAGTATGCTGGTTCTGCACAGTTTCCTACAGGGAAATGCTGTTTGTGCAGAGCTGTAATGTATGGACCTACTAGCACTCATGTAAGGAGACTCATCATGTATAGATGGAATATAAATGGATTTACATCCTGAAAGTATGGACTCTGAAGTGGGTTTATGTGCTGCTATAAGTTCTGTTTACCTTTTTTGTTCAAAATAAATTTTGGTTATTGGGACTCCTAGAAAAGTAATCATTTCTTTCTTCAGTGGTTTATAATCCTCAGAGTTTGTAAAACATGGCTTTGTTTGCTGTAAAATCATTTTAGGTGATTGTTTTAGTCCTTCTTGGGAACACTGAGTAAGTATTACAATCTTTGCCCTTAAGAAATATGCAGATTGGAGAAACAAAAGAGTCCATAGCAAATTAAGTTGGTGTGGGAAATTCTGAAATCATAGGATTAAAAAATATGTCATAGGGGGCTGGAGAGATGATTCAGTGGTTGAGAGTACTGGTTGCTCTTGCAAAGAATTCAGGTTTGATTCTCAGCACCCATGTGGCAGCTAACAACTGTCTACAACTCCAGTTCTGGGGATCTAATACCCTCTTCTGACCTCCTCAAGCATTGCATGACACGGGTACACTTACATGCATGCATGTATACAGTCATACACATAAAATAAAAATAATAAATGCAGTACTTTTTCTAAAAATGTGTCACAGGAATAAATAGATTGGAATAGCTCAGTGGCTTCTCAGACTACACATCCACATTGAACTCTGGTTCCTTGTCTCCATTTCCACTGCCACGAATCAAGCCTTCTTAATCCTCGCAGTCTATACCACAGCTACCAAGTTGCTTATGGTAAAAGTAAATTGTCTTCAAACTGTACTATACTGAGGAACTCATTTTTAATTATCCATATAGAGTAAAATTACAAGGTATGACTAGGAAAAGTATGTCACATGTTATGAGATAAGTATGTTTTTGGAAAATGTTGCTGGGATCTGTGTGAGAGACAGGCTAAAGAGGAAAATCTCATAAAATACTTGGATGAAAGAATAATAAATCAGTTAACATTTTAAAAATGAAAATGTATCTTTACTAAGGATTTTTTATAAAAATTAAATTCAAATTTTAACATTAACTAATATTAATACTTTATGATATAGTATGTTAACTATATCGCAAAATTGTTTCCATGCTTTTTTAGTAAAATGAAGAAAATTTACCAAAAATTCTGCCCAAAAACAGCAGCTCATCTTTACATAAACATTTAGAGTATTTTCATATGTATCTTTTTTTACAACAAAACCCTATGAAAAGAGGGTAAACATGAAAGTCATATTGAGTAAAATCATCTTAAAGCCTCTTAAGATCTAAAACTTTTATTATTCAGTCAACTCACAGTTTAGCCTAAGAAGGAGTGGAACTGACTTGCCGTAGGTCATGTAGCCTGTGGCAGTCATGTCTTAGTGCTCATCCTCAGCATATCAAACTACCTATCTCTTCAGTGTAAAAGTTTAGGAAGTCTAGTGTTCTCCCTACTCAAGGCTCTTGTACAGGCTGTGCCTCTAGATATTTCTTTGTTGGTGGCCTAGGGTCCCTTTGTTTTGCCAGTATTTTCTGTAAAGGTATAGCTTGAATAGTACTATTTGTCAAAGCATAATTTTTGAAACTGAGTTGTCAAGTTATATTGATTCCTGATTGTTGATGAACGTATACTTTCTTTGACCATTAGGCATAATTGTGTTTACCACTTATTTGGGTTTTTTTTTAAGGCTTGATTCTAGTGTAATTATGCTATTTAATCTCCAGTCAAATCAACCTACTCCCTGCAGAGAAATTTTATTATATGATGTTTTGTCTAAATCTAGATTCCATTTGACTACCTCAATAAGTCTTTTGCTATATGCCTGATTTTAAGATGCAGCACTAAACATGGTGGTACATGCCTATAGTTCAACCTACTCAAGAGGCCAAGGCAGGAGTTACACCTGAACACACAAGTTCAAGACCAACCTAGGCTACATAGCAAGAAACTATTTTTAAAAAGTGGGTTTTTTTAGTAAGAAAATCAACCACTGTTATGGGGCAAAAAAATAGCAAAAAATGTTTATTACTGGAGTGCAATAGTCGCATCATCTTTTCAAGTTATATTTCAAAGAGAGTGTATTTCATTTTATGTGTTCAGTGTATTTTCATAGCATTTCTCTAAATTAAATGTAATTCAGATTTAATAGATAAGTCAAGCAAAGTGACTTTATTCACTTAATCTTCATATCTTTTTTAATTATAAACTTGGGGTTTGTATTACATCTAAACTAGAAACATGATGATTCTTGCATTTCAAAGGAAAAATACACTTTGGCAAAAATTAGGAAATAGGATGACTCAATAAACACAGCTGATGCTAAAAGGGGCTTTCCATTTTATGGAAAGTAAACTGAGCTTCAAAGACTTCTCAACTCTCAGTTGGCAGAGCTCTCTGTTAGTATTACTTAATGAACTCTCAACTGTTAATTGAAAAAGAGTATCTATTGAATTCTGGTTTCAGACTTTTCAAAATTCCAAGATTTCAGTTCAGTGGTGAGATAGGTGAGAAGAATTAATTGCCATAGATTAAAGATAATCTACAGAATTATCTACTTTTCTGTAAAAAAGCATATATCTTTAAATACACTTGTGAGTATTTAAAAGAATCAGAAATGTGTTGGGTTTTTTTTTTTCATTTTTATTTTTATTTCATGTGTGTGCGTGTATTGCCTGCATGTAGGTAAGTGCACCCGGGTCATGCAATGCCCGCAGAGGACAGAAGAGGCTGTCGGATGCCCTGGATCTGGAGTTTCAGACAGTTGTTAGCTGCCATGTGGGTGCTGGGATTCGAACCCAGGTCTTCTGTAAGAACAGTCTTCTTAGCTGCTGAGCCATCTCTCCAGCCCCTGTGTGGTTTAAAATTTTACAAGCTTTTAAAGCAATATTTTATTTTTTAAAACAGTCACTTTTCAGAATTCAACATGTGTGTCATGGTGGGAAAAGCACTGGTCTTTGGGGTCAGAATAGCTGGGCCTTATTCTCAATTCCACCCTCTATAGCTGGTTTCTTCGATGGTTAGCTTTCCCTCTTCAGCAAAATGTAACTATAATTTCTACTTCATAGTAGTGTTAGAAACCTAAACATATTTTTGAAATACACAGACTCTTTTGAGAGTAAATATGAAACTGCAGGAGGCTCCCACCCTCAATTTGAAGTTATGCAACTTGCACTGTAGCCAAAGGAAGGGAGGAAGTCTTAAGACCTGATTTAATAAACTGTGTTAGGTGATGATTATAGGAAAGGAAACATGTCAGAAGAGCAAATAATGGGTAAGAATATTTAGCAGCATACCAAAAGACATTAAGATGAAGTAATAAGAGGAAAGTCTTCAAACAAGCATTTCAGATGTGAAAAAAATCCACGCGAACATGTGTAACTTGAAATACTAGCTTTCTGCCCAAGTGCCAACTTTAGGTCATCTTTTGAATGAGACATTAAGGCCAGAAAATGATTTAAAAATCAAGGCAATAAGTCAGAAATCTCTGTTGAGTATGGGTGGGATGAGAGACAATGCTTTGTCCCACAGAGCTCAAACAGCCACCAAACAAAACTCCATTTTCTAGCATCTGCCTGTCTTCAGAATTCCTTTCTACAGCCTATAGGTTTTTCCTCTCTTAAGCAAATACTCTTCTATCGTAGATGACATCAAAATAGGGTGAAAGATGCTTTATTTTTGTCAGAAATATTTTGTTACATTTGTTTCCTAGTAGATGCAGTGATGTGTAGAGGAATGGATGTCAGATTAGGAGTTGTCATCAAATTTCAAATTTTGCCTTTATTGTTCAGCAAGTCATTTGATTATCTGACATTCTTCTAAGTACTATGCTGGTGCTTGTTGTTCAGATTACAATTTAACTGGAAGTGGCTCAGTACTTGGCAGTGCTTGACTAGCATGGATTTGAGCCCTACTACCTCAATTTTTTTTTTCTTTTAGACCCTGACTTCAAGGAGTGAACGATTTGGGATATTTTTGTTTTTATTTTTTTGTACTTTTTGTTGTTGTTGGAAACAGACAAACAAATAAGTGTAGTTCAGTAAGGAACCCCTAAATCA